CCCCAAAACCCCAAAACCCCAAAACCCCAAAACCCCTTATATCTAAATATAAAATAAAAATAACCAATGATGCAAGCAACTCTTGGAGAGAATATTGCAGATGGGATGGATCCTAGGATCTCTCTGCATGAAGATACAGACTATTTCTTGGAAATGTTCTGGGATAATATTGATACTGCTGAACACTTAATTTGCCTCACAACATATGAAATGGATCATAAATTGGTCTCGAGTATCACAGTTAACAAGTTATGAAAAGCTTGTGAAAGAGGAGTGAGGGTCTATATGGTCATTGAGGATCTCAACTGATACCTTGATGCTAAACAAGAGCAACAACTTAAAACTGCAGGAGCAGTTGTTGTAAAACACTACCCTATGAAGCACTTTTTCGATCATTGGACTGATGGTCATTGGAGAAGAATGTGGAATAGGAATCATCATAAAGTGATGTTAATAGACAATAACATCTACACAGGATCTCTCAATATTGCTCAGAGATATACATTTAGGAAGTATGGGTCTAGATCCTTCAGAGATTTAAGCATAAAACTTGAGAATTACAAAGCAAAATATGATACAAAGGAATTTATATTAGATTCTATCCTCATGAACAAAAGATATATTGAAGACTTTGATGAAGAGGATACCAGAGCTGTGTTCAAAAATATCGAAGAAGTCTTTAAGAAAAATGATAAAGAGCTCAAAAATGAAGACTATGACGTAACTTTCTTGAGAGAACAACCTCCTCGTTACACTCAAATTTCAGAGAGCATGGTAAATCTGGTCAAAAATTCTAAAAAGAAAATCCAAATTATTCAGCCATATATTCAAAATATCAAAGAATTGGAAGATGCACTTGAAGATGCTTTAAACAGGGGAGTAGATGTTGAAATTATTTCAGCCAGGAAAAGAGACCAGCCAATCTATGCATCTCTTCTCAACTCTGACCTCTTTAGTAGGATGATCAAGGCAGGAGCAAAGGTCTACGAAGAGCCTTACAAATATCTCCATATGAAAGCTTTATCAATAGATGATAAATTCCTTACTTTAGGTTCAATGAATCAGGACAATACAAGTTTTTACGAAAATAATGAAGCTAATATCTTGATCGAGGAAAAGAATCCTCATGATTCCTCTAAAGGGGTATTTCCATCCTTCGAGAAAGTATTCACCAATCTCAAGGAAGAGTGAAACGAGGTTGACCCTAATGAGAGATATACATGGACAGGAGGTATGAAAGCATTCTTCTGGAAGAGATGTCTCGATCTCCACGGGATTATAACCAACAACCGAAAGGCATAAGTTCAACAGTCTGACGCATTCGTGGGGTTTTGGGGTTTTGGGGTTTTGGGGTTTTGGGG